ATATATATATATATATACATATACATATATATATACATATACATATACATATACGTATACATACATACATACATATAAATAAAATAAATAATTAAAATAAAATAAAAAACCAGCAGATGTGAATACTCCAACCAGACATTTACACATAAACACATATAAATACAAATTTCCTTCCACCCATGTTGCATGATGAAGTCTTATTTGAAAAAGACATATGTGAAACGGTGTCTGAACCTAATGCACAGTGTCCAATAGTTGATAAGTACCGATCATGTTGCATGCTTGGTCTGTGCACCATCTTTTAGGATCTTAATCAACAGAGATGTTTACGTTTCCCTGCAATGTGCCAGTTTACCACCCTTCCATTGGGGGCAAGAAAAAAAAACATACATGCTGCTCCAGCATTTGCACAATCTGAAGGGAAATATAGGAACATAAGCTGCATTCATTTTGAGGGAATCTGAAGAAAAAAAACGAGTAAGGAAAAAACAGCTTTACACTGTAAGCATTGAAATGGTAGCTTGAATTGTGAGGCAGAAAAATCAGGGCTCCCTGCGCTGTCACAATCAATTTGAGAATGGTTTCTACATGACAGTGGTCCGCTGTGCACAGACAGTCCTGTAGTCGGCAGATAAGTGGAAGCTCTTTAGCAGGAGAACAGAGGGCAGGGCAGGGTGGCCGCTGAGACCGATTCGATGCTGGTCCTACCTGCACTGGCTGCACTCCTACGCAGACAGAATAGAGTCCAGTGTCTGAACACAGAGCTTGTATTGTTAAGAAGCTTGGGTTGGCCTCAAAACATTTTCATTCACTTTAAAATTTAACAATGTGCCCCATGAAGTGATGTTTGTATGCAGATACTCAGCAAAATGCATTTTCCTGTGACACAGTAATATATAGTAGACTCCAAATGGTTTGTGTCTTGACTGCATACTGTGTATTACACACATTATATCTGCCCAAACATATAAAAAAACATTTACACAAATAGCACAGAACAGTGTCTGTCCAGTTGCTCCAGTCAAAAATGCCTCAGTTAGCATTTTCTCCACAACACTTCAGTCAACTGTTTGCCCTGTGCACTCAGGTGAAATATGAGCCACAGTAAATCATTATTCCTCAGGCCACATTTGCCAGATGAATGCATGTGAGTGTTGGACTGTGTGTTTTCTCCTCTAATGAATTGAGGAATTTAGCTTGTGGCAGTAGAGGTAAAAAGAGGTAGTGCTTGTGCTCACGTATGTTTGTGCAAAAAGAGGATAATTCTGCATTTTGAATTGAATTTCAGGGAGTTGCTATTAGATGTTCATTTAAAGAGGGCTTGGTGTGAATACATGAACGAAGATGGCTGATGGATGGATGGGTGTGTGGAGAATATATGGATGAATGGATGAATGGATGTATAGATGGATGGGCAGATGATAGATGGAGGATACTGTATATGGATGGTTGGATGGATGGATGGTGGATGGATGATGGATGGGTGGATAAATGGTAAATGGACTGTATATAGCACCTTTCTATCTTATTTCAAGATACTCAAAGCTCTTTACAACAATCTGTGTCTCATTTACCCATTCATACAGCTCTATACTAGATCTATACAAAGCTAATTGAACAAATCATTCTAAAGAGACTAATCAGAGCTTTATCACATTCAGACACTGATGGGACACACATCAGAGGCAACGAGGGGTTCAGTGTCTTGCCCAGTGACACTTCAGCATGTGACTGCTGGTGGATTCGAACCCCCAACTCTCACATTGGAGGACGACTGATCTAACCACTCAGCCACAGCTGCCCATGGATGGCTGGATAATGGATGATGGATGGATAGTTGGATGGATAGATGATGGGTGGA